TAAGTTGATTTTTTTTCCCCTTTTTTGTTTTGGTCTCTTTCATACTGGATGCATTCATCATGTCTGGCACCGTTTCCTCATTCTTAAGAATGGGAAAATAAAAAGGCGACCACAAGCTCTAAGCATGTGGTTGAGGCCCTTAGACTAGTAACCTTTATTGTAGGGTTATTTTGCTGGGCCAATTGTTAGGGAACCCCCAAATCAGTATCGTTAGGTCTTTTAGGCTTCTCATATTCCCTAAAAGAAGATTCTCTCAGTTTTCTGCTTAGAAGGTTTTACATTCAACATTCAAAATGCGTAAGGTCATCCAATTTCTCTGATTTCACCATGGTATTCACATGCTCAGTTGTGTCTGGCAAAGCCCAATCTAGAGACATTGTTCACCCTTACCAGAAAATAGGCCTATACAGGCTCCTGCAGTTATTCAGTGGTATGGAGTAGGTGAGGAGATGTAAGCATTTAACAGCTTCTTAAGGCTTTTAACCAGTCCTCTTTATTTTAGACCCCTCTTCCATCTGCTTTTCCAAACTGTCTGTTGCTGTTAATGCTTGATACTCGATACTTGAGAAAATTCTGATGTAAACTGGAGGTTCTTTGTTTAAAATTCGGCTTTCTTGGATTAGCAGTAATCCATCTATTTTTCAGCTTTTAAAATTTTACTGAATCTTCTTATGGGTTTATACTTTATAAATAAATTCCTTTGTTGGAGTTTTAGTAGGGTTTCAGAAGAGAGCAAAATTAGATTGAAGATGTTGATCTTCAATATTATATGTTTTCTTTTCATTAATGTCTGACCTTTAGTAGTCCCATTCTTCATTTCTATGTGGACTGATTCTATTGATCCTTTTTCTAATTATTGAAGTTGTATGCTTAGTTCATTATTCTTCAGTTTCTCTACTTCTAATGTAAACATCTAAGGCATAAATTTCCCTCTAAGAAATAGTACTTTGTAGTACTTTCACTATGATTACTTTATAAGTATTATTTCTACTGTGATTTTCTTTTTCTTACTTGTATTTACAAGTGTGGTTTTAAGTTTCCAAATATATGGGCTATTTTGACTAATCCTGTTTTGACCTAATTGTACTATAGTCAGAGAACATGTTATACTTTAAAGTTTGTTGAACCTTGCTTTAAAACTAGTGTCTGGTAGATTAAATAACTACTCCATGCATGCTTGAGAAGACCAAGCTTCGTTAACTTAAATATATTATATCAACTTGTTATTGTATTATTCGAATTTTGTCTATATCCTTGTTCATATGGTTACTGTGTTAAAATATTTCAGCATGATGGAGCACTGATATACTTCTCTTTTAATTCTGTCAATTTTTGCTTAAAATTTTCCATACACGGTTTAGAACTGCCTTTTTTCCCCTGGTAAATCAAATCTTTTAATAATAATGTAGCAAACACATTTGTTTTAAATAATGCTTTAATTTTTTTGTTATTAAAATAGCTAGTCCAGCTTTCTTTTAGTCAGTATTTGTATGGCACATATTGTTTTTATACCCTTTTCTTTTAAAAGTACTGTGTATTTATGTGGATTTTTTGAGACTAATCAGGTGGTTTTATTATCAAATGTAATAATTCTACGAAAACTCAGTAGTATTGTAGTATTACTTTCTATCTTAAAGTCTTTCAGAGCTTTCGGCAGACAGCATCTTAAGCACCAAGTATAAACAGCTCTACTGATCTTAAGTGCTGGTTGTGACCAATTTTCCTACCAATGAACTTTTCCTGCTGCAGTTAAATGGCCATTGCTAGTCAGGTGAAGAGAATGTCTGGCTCTCCACTCAAGGTATTAAAGTAATGCTAAGTAAATGAAAAGAGCCACATAAAGCTGCATGACATATCCAAGTCAAGGATAGTAACAGTATCTTAAAGAAGCGTTTAGTTAATCAAGTCCTGTCTCCCTCTTTGGACTACATAATGCAGCAGTACTAGCTAGCTAGAGTCTAATATGGCACTTTTGTAGCATAAACATATAGTGCGAAACACTGACAGCATCAGTACCTGCTCTAACACCACTCTAGTGTTTACCTCTTGGTCCAGCATGCTGACGATAATAGTTTTAATCATTTGACAGTTAGGCATGGAGACAAAGGTTTAAGGTTATATCTTAATATATACAAGCATTCACTTCAATTAGTATATTGCTTTCTAGAATATAACTGTTGAAATATTCTCATTTTGTGATATTGAAAACTATGGAATTTCTTTTATTAAAGTCCAAACCATCAGTGGTGGGAAAAGTACAATATAAAATAACACATATGAAGCCACGATGTTCAGTTACAATTTAAACTATAAATTACTAACTACACATAGCTGCTTCGTTTTTGGTTTCACATTTTGGCTCCTAGTTCATTCCTATTTACAACTGGTACCTGCTGAGAAAAGAGATACAACTCTTAAGCTATGTATATTTTGTGGTGGGTGTGCAATGTACTGTGTATTTGTGTTTTAATCACGCTTTTTATGAATATCACATAGCTGGATTTCTTTTCCCTGCTTGAGAGTTTTTGTTTTTTAATTGCTTAGCTTTGTCCATTTATATTTATTGTGATTATTGATATATTTTGAATTATTTCTACCCCTTTAGTTTCTGCTTTGTATTTGTTCTGACTTCTCTCTGCTTCCCCCCCCTTTTTTTTTTTGGTTTCTGCTAGCATTTATTTGTGAAAATTTACACAAAAATCCCCAATCCAACATTTACAAGTGAATCTGTAGAAACCCCACATGCCTCTTTCCATTAAACAAACAGAAAAATGGCTTATGACAGGAGTTTATGACAATGATATAACAGCACTTAAACTGTATCATTCCTATCTATATTATATAGACTGTGTTGAAAAGGCTCAAAATGGAGGAAAGCAGATAAAATCCCCATTTTTAAAGCTGATCTACTCTTGCACTAGCCTTCTATCAAAGACAAATAATTTTTACTTTTTCGATAAAATCAAGGTGTAATTATCAATGAACTTTAAACCGAAAGCACAAATGTCTGAGTTGGTATTTTTGGCATGAAAGTAAAAGGGAAGGGCATGGAAAAAATCCCAGTTTCAAAAAGTCACATTAGGGAACAAAAACATCAGTAAAATAAAATATTCTCCTCTCCTATCTTTTCTTTGCCATTTTGTCAAAACAGAAGAATATAACCAAGTTAAGAACTGTCATTGCTTCTGAAAAAGGCAAAGGGCACCAGTCAGAAATATGAGTTTCTTATTAGGCTAATGGTACAGAACAAAATTTGACCTTTAGACCCCTAAAAATGGATCTGACCTACAAATTTGGTTATTCTCTTCCCTACTGGGATGTATCCTCTGTCATATACTATATGTAATACCACAGGTGGACTTTCTCAACATCCACTCTCTCAACATTCACTCTCCTTACGTTGAAGATTTGGCCGCCAGAATCTCAGAAGCCGTACCTATCAATTCCTACCAGCAGATGGCAATGTTGCACAAATTAATGAAAGAACCACTCTGCCACACCGGAGGAATTCACACAAGGGTGGAGGGGGGACGGCTTTGGGGTTCAGAGTAGCCAGAACATTAACAGAAGAGCCTGAGATTTTAACAACATAACTCAACTCCCTCTTCTACTTTTGTACTTTACCCTGGTCATCACAGCAGTGTTCTCTGTTAATTCTAATACACCTGATTCTTAACTGCAAGCTATATGCCCGTAGTCCTGTAATTCTTGCCACTGCACTAGACAAAGCCCTGTAACAGTCAGCAGGGGTTAAAAGAGATTACAGAAAGGACAGACTCCTATCCACTTTCTGGGCGAAATGGACTAATTTTCTAGTGACAGTATTTTTCCTAACTGTTGACAAACACAATCATTTGTATCCATACCTTTGCTTACTTAATGGACTTTAGGCACCTTATATTCCCACAGCAATTCTCGGCTTTGCTTTTGCAACATTCATTTTCAAGTATTTACTCTATTCATAATCCTCCCAGATGTGTTTTTTTTTTTATACCCCATATGTCTTAATTTGCTAGATGGAACACATAAAGGACAGGAATTAAGTCAGTGACTGGCCACATAAGAAGAGTCGGTAAATTTTACCTATATTTTCCTTGCTAGAAGTTACATTAAAAATTCAAGCAACCACATATCTGACAAAGGGCTTGCATCTAGGATATATAAGGAACTCTCGAAACTTAGTAGAAAAAACAAGCTAATTAGAAAGTGGGCAAAAAGGAGAGGAATAGATACTTCATTGAGACAGATATATATAGATGATAAATAAGCACATGAAAAGATGTTCAGCATCATTTGCCATTAGGAAAATGCAAATTAAAACCATAATGAGGTATTACTAGACACATCTATGAGAACGACTAAAATAAAAAATAACAATAGCAGGTACTGGTGAGGATTCGGAGAAATTGGACTGGTCACACGTTGCTGGTGGGAAGGTAAAATGGCAGTCACTCCGGGAAAAGAGCAGGACGGTTTCTTACAAAAATAAACGCGTGCTTACCATACAACCCAGCATTTGCCCTCTTGGGCATTTATCCCAGAGAAATGAGAATTTATGTTCACGTAAAAACTGTACATCAATGTTCACAGCAGCTTTAGTAGAAATGGCCAAAAACTGACAATGACCCCAAGGTCCTTCAATGGGGGAATGGTTAAACAACACTGTGGTACATCCATACCATGAAATACTACTGAGCAAAAAAAAAAAAAGCAAGCTATTGATAACATGCAACAACATGGATGGATTTCGAGGGAATTATGCTGAGTTTTAAAAGCCAATCTCAAAAAAGGTTACATACTATATGATTCCATTTATAAAACATTCTTGAAATGACAGTAGTAGAGATGGAGAACAGATTAGTGGTTGCCAGAAATTGGGACTTTGGGGAAAAGAAGGGAGGTGGCTGTGGTTATAAAAAGGTAGTAGCACAGGGATACGAGAATTGAGACTGTTCTGCATCTTGCGGTGGTGATCACACAAATCTACACCTGATAAAACTGCACAGAACTAAACACACATAAATACACAAAAGAGGTTCAGGCAGTTGAGCACAAATATGTTAATTCTCTAAAATGAAGTCCTCTTTAAGAGTTATGTACAGTTCAAGGCTCAATTCTATGAGGTGTCCCATCTATCACCCTTTTAAGAGACATAAATTTATGAAAGGATATTACCAGAAGCTATCTAAACATTTCAGCTAAGGGTCAAGAGAAAGTGAAGTGTGTTTTCACAAAGAAATCCAAAGAGGACAATCAGAATGAAACAAGTTCAACATGGTCATACAAACCTTGGTAAAGGAACTAAAGTGGAAGCCCAAGCTGGTGAGCGAGTAGGAAAAGGAAAGAAAACGTGATTCAAACAGATCACAGGAGGAAACCCAGTACAAATGCTGACTTTGGCATCATCTAGGTAACCCCTATTTTTTGTCATAGGTGACTCTAATAATAGTCCTATTGTTGCAAAACCAGTCCAAATGCTACCAAGTTAAAAAGAAGTCCCTCATTGACTTGTTGGGTGTAGGTGGTAACCCCTGTCCTCCCACACCAAAAGAGATCAGTTCTGGGAAGAAAGCTTCAGTGTGCCTTGATGGTGCTAGGTGTTAGGTGTTAGTAGGATGCCTTAGGTCAGACATGTCCCAGTGATGTTCAGCTGGCTGAGATACAAGGTGGGAGGAGACTGGGCCTTATAACTCCATCAACTTCTTGGCCTTGAAGAAGCAACGCAGGTAGAAGAACTGCCATGTGGCTAGTCCAATGAGGCAGATCATTGAAAAGATGCTGAAGTACAGGACCGGAGTGTTGACTCACTGGTATCTCGCATCTCCTCCTCTCGCTTCTTCATGTAGGCAAAATCATTAACGATGGATTCTGAAAGGTCTTCTAAGCGTCGGAGCTCCACTTCTAAGATTTGAGCTTCTCAACCTTGGCAATCTCTTCGTAATTTTTCGCCTCCACTCCATGCTTCATGTCTAGAATCACGAGTTGATCAGGTATCCGCCCTGTTCCCTTGCTCTGAAAACACACTTCAAACATGTCATAATCTTCAGTGGTAAAGGCAAATTTCCCCTTGGTTGCATCTTCCTTGGAGTACAGAATATGACCAGCAAATCTGTGATCTTGAGGTGGGTTCGCGGGCCGCCAGCGCCCCCAGACTGGTACCACGGTGATCTCGTACGCGCCCGTCACCAGCAGGTCCTTGTGGATCTCCTCGCAGAGGCACTTGCGGGAGTTAAGCGGCAGACGTAAGGAGATGGCGAGCACCAAGCTGGGGCCGAGCAGGAGTAAAAGCAGCAGTGATAATGGGCAAGGGCCACGCTGAGCTGGTGCGCCAAACAAACCAGACATGATGCCAGAGACTGTTCACCCCCTCGGGCCTCTACCGCGCCGGAACTGCTCTCTGCTTCCCTTTTTACCTTTCTTTTCCGAATTTCTTTTGGACTCAGTTTATTTTTTTTTTTAATTTTTTAAAAATTTTTAAAGATTTTATTTATTTATTTGGCAGAGTGAGACACAGCGAGAGAGGGAACACAAGCAGGGGAGTGGGAGAGGGAGAAGCAGGCTTCCCACTGAGCAGGGAGCCCGATGTGGGGCTCGATCCCACGAATCTGGGATCATGACCTGAGCCGATGCTTAACGAGTGAGCCACCCAGGCGCCCCTGGATTCAGTTTATATAATTCCATTTACTCCCTCATGTTTTTGAAAGTCACTACAAAATCAATTACTGTTTCTCATGGTTATCAAAAACACACATGTAAAATCTAAAATCAATCACTGTCTGTACCTTCTTCCAAAATAAAAAGGACCTTAGGAACTAACTATGTAACTAAGATTATCCTCTTGTATCTCATATTATTTTGTCCACCACTTTAGTTTCATTTAAAAATATATCAAGGGCGCCTGGGTGGCTCAGATGGTTAAGCGTCTGCCTTCGACTCAGGTCATGATCCCGGGGTCCTGGGATTGAGTCTGACATCAGGCTCCCTGCTCCTTGGGAGCCTGCTTCTCCCTCTGCCTCTCTCTCATGAATAAATAAGTAAAATCTTAAAAAAATATATATATATATTTATATCAAAATAGATATTAGTCACAATATTTTGTTCATATAATCCCACAGGTTTATCATTTTTTCTCCACCAGCTAAAGTAGTTCCTAAAGGGAAAGTCTTTTAGTCAGGTATATTAGTAAACTTTCTCCATTTTTAAAGTTTGTTTTAAAATGTCTTTATCTTGTCCCTGTTTTTAAAAGATATTTGGGTATACAATTCTAAGTTGATGGTTAATTTCTCTCAGCATTTTAAAGATAATAGTCTACTGTGTTTTGGCTTTCATTGTTGCTGTTGATAAGTCTGTTGCTGACTGTTCCTTTGTTCGTAATATATCTTTTATCTCTGGATGTTGTAAGATCTTTCTCTTTGGATTTCAGCAATTTCAGTATGCTTTTTCTACATTCAACTGCAAATAATACCTCTATTTAGAGCAGAAAAGAATTTAATATTCAATTCCAACCAAACTGATGAATGAGCAAGGATTAGGCTCTCTAGGAATGACTCATGAACACTACCACAGAATTATCTTGCCAAAGTAACTTTTTTCTTTTTCACATTTAGGAAGCCAGAGAATTGGGAAGCCTCTGGACCACTCTTGCACCCAGCATCATATTGTAACCTTAGCTATAATTCATAGATCAGGAAGCTATCATCACACTTGTTTCCAGAGCCATGATGCACACCTTAGATCCACTCTAGTAAATGGATGCCTTACATACTACCATTTCTCATCCCCACTTAACTTGGTTCTGAATTCAATCTTATGTGAATACATGTGATTGGCAGAACCTGAATGTATCTGGAAACTTATTGGCAAAAGAAGTAAGGGAAATACAGCTCTTAGCTTTCTAGCATCTACATTACACCTACTATCTCTCTGAATATCTATTCTGTCCCAATTTTTTGCTATTCTTTCCCTTGGAACTGCAATAAGAAGTGTTATTTCCCTATAATGCTTTCTGGCTTATTTCTTTAGACTTGTCTTCCAATTTAATTAATTCTCTCTTCATCTGTGTCTAATCTACTTTTTTTTTAAATAATTTTTTATTGTTATGTTAATCACCATACATCATTAGTTTTTGATGTAGTGTTCCATGATTCATTGTTTGTGCATAACACCCAGTGCTCCACGCAGAATGTACCCTCTTTAAT